AAAAAAAAAAAAAAAAAAGAAAAAAAGGAAGGAAGGAAAGAAAGAAGGAAGGAAGAAGGAAAGAAGGAAGGGAAGGGAAAGAGAAGAAAGTACTTAAGTTTAAATTTAAAACTAGACTATGGGAACAGAACAGAGAGGAATGAATAGAAAATGAGCCCAGGCATTGGTAAAAATGTTTTGGTAAATTTAAATAATAACTATTAATGTTGAACAGAAAACCAGCATATAAAATGTCAGCTTTATTAATAGTACTTTATTTCATCATAAAAACGTAAGACAAACATGGCAAAATAATGAACAACTTAATATTAGGAGCAACCACATGAACAAAGACAAGCTCCTCTCAAACAATAAAGAAAAAAAAAACTTAGAAAATAATGTGCTTTAGCAGAAACACAAGGATACTTAGTTGTTACAAGCTCTATCAGTGCAGATTGCCACATGAATTAACTTGAGAAGACAAGACACCACAAAAATAAACATCCACACATCCCCAAAAATTCTCAAAAGCTTAACATGTAAGCTTTTCATATTTAAAACTGTGGGGGCTGGGAAGGTGGCTCAGTGGTAGAGTGCATGCATGAGGCCCTGGGTTTGATTCCTCAGCACCACATAAGCAGAAAAAGCTGGAAGTGGCACTGTGGCTCAAATGGTAGAGTGCTCACCTTGAGCAGAAGAGTTGAGGGAGAGCGCCCAGGCCCGGAGTTCAGGTCCCAAGACTGACAAAAACAAAACAAAACAAAACAAAAAACCTCCCAAACCCCAAACAAAAAAAAACAAACAAAAACAAAAACAAAAAAAACCCCAAAACTAAAATTGCCCCAATTATTTGCTTTCAACTCTTCTCCCAAGTGCTCTTAAGGGCATGCAATACTTAAAACTGGTCTCATCTGTTCTCTTGCTATGTTTCTATGTGTGGCTTAGGATTCCATGCCATTGTATGTATACACACAATTAATTAAATTCAACCATTATATTCAATGTGCAAAATAATTGGACAACTTTTGTAGTTATCCAAAAACAAAACAGAAGGGCTGGGAAGGTGGCTCAGTGGTAGGGCGCTTGCCTTGCATGCCTGAGGCCCTGGGTTTGATTTCTCAGCACCACATAAGCAAAAAGAAAAAACCCGGAAGTGGTGCTGTGGCTCAAGTGGCAGGGCACTAGCCTATAGCTGAAGAGCTGAGGGACAGCGCCCAGGCCCAGAGTTCAGGCCCCATGACCGGACCCCCCACCAAAAAAAACAAAACAAAACAGAAATCGAATGTTTGTTCCCCCCCCCATTATCAAAAAGAGGAAAAACTATTTTCTTAGCTAAATCTTAGAAGCATCAACAAAACATAAAATATAGGACTGTCTGGTCAGCCACACTGTTCAACATGAACTTAAATAAACCAATACAAAAGGAGTAAATGACAAAGTAAACTACAAAGATGTTTATCAAACAAAGACAAAATTCTCATTACTTAGATATGATTGTCCTTACCAACCAACCAAGAAATACATAGATATGTATTAAAGAGGTTAAGTAATTTTGTTGGAGATCAGAGCAACATAAAAAATTATTTCTACACACTAGTAACTAGGTACAAAGAAGACTCAGGATATTATAACTATACAAATATCAAATCTCAGAACTAAGAGCTTTTCCAGAACAGGAAAAGATATTAAAAATATACAATGAGTGGAAAAGAGGTGTTTTTTTTAAAACCACAAACAAAAAACCCATAAATCCTTTGCTAATTATAAAAAAAAAGGTGTATGATCACTGTTTCAAGTTTTTTTTTTGTAGACACAAACATACGTGTAGTAGGAAATTTGCTCCAGTCCCCTAGGAGAACTAGGTTTGGGTTTTTTTTTTTTTTGGTCCTAGGGTCTGCACTCAGGGCCTGGGTGCTGTCCCTGAGCTTTTGTGCTCAAGGTTAGCACTCTACCATTTGAGCCACAGCTCTACTTCTAGGTTTTTTGGTGGTTCATTGGTGATAAAAGTCTCACAGACTTTCCTTCCCAGGCTGGCTTTGAACCTCGATTCTCAACTCTCAGCTTTCTAAGTAGCTAGGATTACAGGCATGAGCCACTGGTGCCTGGTGGGAGCTAGGTCTATGGTAAAAAGGTAGCCATAAATTAGCAGAGCCTAAGGCCAAATCCCACTAAATAACAACAAACTACTTCGATGCCAGCACTGGGGCTAGAATTCAGGGCCTGGACGCTGTCCCTGAGCTTTTGTGCTCAAGGCTAGCGCTCTACCACTTGAACCACAGCTCCATTTCCGGCTTTTTTAAAAAAATGCCAGTGCTTGGGCTTGAACTCAGGGCCTGGGCGCTGTCCCTGAGCTTGTGTGCTCAAGGCTAGTGCTCTACCACTTGAACCACAGCTCCATTTCTGGCTTTTTAAAAAATGCCAGTGCTTGGGCTTGAACTCAGGGCCTGGGCGCTGTCCCTGAGCCTTTGTGCTCAAGGCTAGCGCTCTACCACTTGAGCTACAATTCCACTTCCGGCTTTTTTTTTTTTTCCGGTTCGTTGGAACTAGGAGTCTCACAGCTTTCCTACCCAAGCTGGCTTGAACCTTGATCTTCAGATCTCAACCTAGTGAGTAGCTAGAGATACAAGGCATCAGCCATTGGTACCTGGCAGAAGGATGCTTTTTAATATGGATGCGAAAAGATTGAGTGGTAGGGTACTGGAGCAAAAGCGAGTTGGTAAAGCAAAGTGCTCGAGGCAAAAACGTGGTGCGGGGTGGTGGTGAAAAAAGCCCTAATAGCTAATTCAAAGTCTCAAAAAGTTGATATATTTCAAGCAGGGTATTTTGAGGCTGAGGCATTCTTCCAGATTTCCTAGCCAGCCAGTTAAAAAAAAAAAACAAAACACAACAAACTGCAATGATACAAACAGGCAGACAAACTCCAAAAAAGAAACCAAGTAACCAAAACCAACACCCCAAATCCTCACTTTGTAGGTTACACCAGTCACACACCATTGGTTTTGCCAAGACCCCTCCCACCCACAATTAGAAGCCAGCAGGAGGAGTGAAAGTGATCATCTTTAGAACAGGCGTCTCCGGGCCTTGGATGCAGGGCGGTGAGGCTGCGCAGGGTGCACGGGTAGACTCGGTCTGCCGGTGGGATTCGAACTCGGGCTGGGAGACGGAGGCAGCGGCTGCAGCGGTGAGCCGGGGACCGACCTCAGAAGGTGGATGTCCAGGTTGAAGATGGACTGAGCTCTGTGGCTGTCTGGATCCGGGGTGGGTGCCGCAGAAGAACCCCTAGGCTGTGGGCTGGGATCTCCAGGCTCGGGACTGGACCAACTCGACTGCAGGAAGTCGGGCTCGTCTTCGGTGTCTTCTTCAGCATCCTCAGCATAGGCCTCTTCTTGGCGGGCGACCTCGGGGACGGGCTCGTAGCAGAGTCCCTGCCGGACCACGACGTCCTCGGGGCGTGCATCCAGCAAGGAATCCAGCAGCAGGCCGCCGCCATCGTCGTCGTCGGATGAGACCCCGGGCTGCCCCTGGGGGGTGAGGCCCAGGAGGTCCTGGGGGATGAGGATCAGCCTGTGGCCTTGGAGGTCCACCGTGAGCACCGAGGCCGGCGGGGGCTCCAGCACCAGATCGACGTGGCCTAGGGGTACCTGCAGGGCGCAGCCGGTGGCCAGGACCACCAGGGAGGTGAGGCCGGCCTGGGCGTCGGCGTGGGCCGGGGTCCCCTTGGAGGGGTCTTCCAGGCTGGGCGGCTGCGGTGGCGGCCCGGGCTGGTCCAATCGGCGGCGCTTGGCTGGGCTGGGTCCCGCGGGCTCGGGTGACCACCAGGGCGTGGTGCTTGCGTCCATCATGTCGTCGAAGGCGATGTGGGGGTAGGGACCTGGCGGTGGTTGTCGCCCGGGGCGGGGGGGGGGGGAGGTTGGGCCTGGAGTGCGGGAAGGGATGGAGGTCTCCGGGTGTTGCTTTCGTGCACCCGGTGACAGTCAGAGGTGGAAGAAGCCCAGTGAGGCGGGAAGGAATCTTCGTCGTAGTCGTCGCCTTCTGAGGGCCTCGGCGCCTTGGAATCCCGCGCGCGTCCCTCACACAGCTATGGACGGACGTGCCACGCTCTGGATGCCCGATTGTGTTGCAAGTGACGTGTGTGTGTTATATATATAGCGGAACCCCAGTGTCAAAGCGGCACGCCAGGCCCCGCCCCCCTCCGCGCTCATCCAATGAGCGTGCTCCGGCCTAGACAAGTAGCTGCGCTGTGATTGGTTGCTCCCTGTAGAGGAAATACTTTTCTGGGCCTCTAGGGGTCTGGGGAACCTGGGTTGCTCCTGGGCTGAGCTTCCGGTGGCAGGGGGGCGGGGTGGAGGGGTGTGTTTGGTGGGGTGCGACGCATTCCTCGTGGGTCTTCCTCCCGTTCCCTCAGAGGCTGCCCGACGCTGGGCCTTTGTTCCAAGTCTCGCGCGAGACCCAAGTTGCGGCACGTGGAGGGAAGGCGCATGCGCATTTCTCCCTCTGGGCCCCCCTCCCTCACCACCGCGGAAGTGGTCAGGATCCAATATGGAGGTACGTGTTTGAGGCGCTTCGGGAAGAAGCCCCTCGTCAGTGACTGCTTTTTGTCCCTGTGGAGGCGGTGGAAACGGGGAAATCAACCTGGCGTCGTGTTTCGCGTACTGGTTCATTTCGTGTCCCCCCCCTGCTTTATGTATTGTTGGTGAGGAGTGGTGCTGAGGGGGCCTCAGGTCCAATATGGCGGCGCCTACGAAGGACGAGGCGTCTAGGCCCCAGTGTCCCCGCCCCAGCCCTCCCCTCAACTTACCCGGTCCCACGTTCACGCGTGTACGTCGAATATGCGGAGTGCACTTGCCCTCCTTCCCTCCCTCCCTTCCTGGGCCTGACCACCCTCCCTCCCTTCCTTCTCTGGCCTGACCACCCACCTTCCCCTCCTTCAAGGGCCTGACCACCCTCCCTCTCTCCCTCCCTTCCTTCCTTCCTAGGCCTGACCACCCACCCTCCCTCCATTCCTGAGCTTGACCACCCTCCTTCCCTCCCTTCATGGGCCTGACCACCCTCCCTGCCGCCCTTCCTTCCTAGGCCTGACCACCCACCCTCCCCTCCTTCATGGGCCTGACTACCCACCCTCCCCTCCTTCATGGGCCTGTCCACCCACCCTCTCCTCCTTCATGGGCCTGACTACCCACCCTCCCCTCCTTCATGGGTCTATCCCTCTCCCCTTCGTCTCTTGCCATATTTAGCGTCTCCCATTGCCTGTGGATGACAAGGCTCAGTATCCCTGTAAAG